GGAGGTACATACTTGGACTGTGACATATGCACGTTCAGCCTCGTTGTAGTATAAACCACACGTTGGTTTTGATTCCGTGGGTGTTGTATTAAATGGGCCTGGCCACTTAGTCATGCTCGAAAACGAGGAGCCCTGCTGAAGATGAGGAATCACTCTCTGATTTGTGGTGTGTCTTCAAGACGAAACAATTATGAATATGCTAATGGTGACACCGTCATTATTCATATAGGTATGTTCACAGAAAACTTGAGAAACCACACCACTTGAAGACTTTCAACAACAGAAACAACTAAAATGGATAGCACACGTCACTCTGAGAAAAAAAAACACAATGGCAATGAAAATGATGACATTTTACACTACCTTAAACAAAAGTTTAGGAAGGAAACCACCACCAGTAGTGGAAAGAGCTATAACAGTTAGCGGACTTGAGAGAAATATTTTCCTGAAAAACTTTTAAGAAAGATTCTGTAAATTTCAACCGGCATTAATGCTTCGGTCTATAACGGTTCGGTCAATAAATGCTGACGTCTGCGTCTTCTTTATTCATTTTTCTCGAGTGTACGGGGAGCTAGACGTAATACACATTGTTTAAAAAACGGGGTGTCGACTCTAATACGGATATCCGCTAAAAATAATAAGTGATATATATATATATATATATATATATATATATATATATATATATATATATATATTGCTGCATGGCCGTTGTTGCTCGTGCTTGATTCAAAAATCGTACGACTCATACAGCAATCGCTATCACTTGACTTAAAATATTTTTGCCCTTCATTGCCTTTAAAGGAATGCCCTTTGCCGTGCTGATGTTGCTACATGCCTTACTTCTTGCCTATCTCACACTGCGAATTTTTTTCTAAGCTCTATACTAAACATTAAATCTGTTACGAAAAAAAGAACTAAACAAAATGAACACAAAACGATCAGCTTTAAAAAAAAGGACTCGTAACTGGAAAAACCGAATGAAAAAAGAATGTTAACAACAAATACTTTTTCACACTCAACCCACTTCTGCGGAATCAGAATCAACGTTGAGTTTAAGCAAGTGAATGAGCCAATTGGAGTAAAGTGCCATGCAGATTTTAATTTTTCCCACTTGTGACGAATGCAGCAATCGATTTTTTGCATGCTAGCATGCTAGTTAACATTCGTGTCAGTTAGCTGTTGGCTCTCACGCTGGTCAATAGAATCTTCCTGCCTATTTGTGGCAGCCAGCTATAGGCTCTCACTCTGGCCAGTAGAAAATGGCCGCAAACTACATGAAAACTGCTGTAGAAGCATGAAAAATCGATTATTTCTACTGTCGGTGGTAGTTGCGAAATGCAAAGTAGGTCTTGGCCTTTCTACTAACTTGAAGCATGTGCATGTAAATTTTGGTGCAAATCCATCGAAAATTGCGGCCGTGCATTCGTTTCACACACACACACACATCCTGTCTTTTATATATATATATATATATATATATATATATATATATATATATATATATATATATTTGGTTGGATTGATGTGAGTTTGGGACCTTGGGTTTCAAGCGTGAAACCCAGGGTCACAAACTCACATCAATCAACAAATATGTTAGCTCTATCTCTGATATTGAGCGCTTTCTAATAAGTACCGCGCATATAATATGTAAATAATAATATATATAATATACACACACACACACACACACACACCCACACACCCACACACACACACACACACATATATATATATATATATATATATATATATATATATATATATATATATATATGCCAAATAGAATAGTAAAATATTTGTTAAAACTGAACGTATTAAAAGTGCTTCAACACAAAGTCGGAAGATCAGACCTGAAGAGCTGTTTAATATTTAGAAAGAATGAAAGCTAACCAGAGAAAACTACCGCTCTTTCGACCCCTCCGGTCTTCTCAGGTGGTTTGTTCAGTAAATCAACTACATAGAACTCAACAATTTAAGCACTTTCGAAGCCGGAAGTAGTGGAGGGAGAAAAAACGTTCTAACTTTAACCGGGTTCAAATAACCCCAAGTTGAACTTCTTAAAATCATCTTTGACCCCCCATTTAGCAATTCATTGCTATTTTTATATGTTGCTATAGCCAGTTTCTCTTCTTGGTATAGCCTACACTTATTCTCGACTATTATGTTAGTCTTTAAATTTCGGAAAATGCACCATTTAATGCTTGGACTGTGTTTCTCTCTTATCTTCAAATAGTAGCTTGTTAATTTCGTGCTGTACCTATGCTCCAGAATTCTAAAAGATGACATGTGATTGTACCACCCCCTCTTGCACTGGCCCTCACTACACCCGATGTATTTCTTGTGCTACTATTTTCCCTTTCCACTTCGGCACAATATACAACACGTTCAGCATAATCCATTAAAAGGACAGTTATTTTTTGTCCTGCAATTGCATAAGTTCGTATTCCCGCCTTTCACGTTATTTTGTAGCTTTAAATTTCTGTTATTCATTCCTTTTATGATATTACCCATACTGCTTGTGCAGCTATAACTTAATTTGACCGTATTTCGGTTAAATAGCTTATGTAATCCGGACGTATTAGAGAAGTGCTTATCTAATATATTGAAAAACATCTTTCCTATGTTTGTTATTACGTTAGTGTTGAAAGGCGGGTTGAACCAGATTATGTTTCTCTTTCTTTTATTGTTAATAAGATTATCATTTTTCGGGCTCGTCTGTTCTTTGAATTGCAAGTTAGCGTTATGTCCTTCTTTTCTTAATGCCAATACGTATATCTTCTTTATTTCGTTAAATATATTTTCAGTAAAAGAATTTTGCGACAGCCTACATTGCACTCCTAACAGGATTTGTTTAATTATTCTCGTTGGGTAGTTAGACGCCATATTGATAGAGTCGCATTCGGTTTCATAAAAAGTGAAATGGTTCCGTTTGACAGGTTTAACTCTGTATCCAGAAACTGGGCGACTTTTTTGTTGGTTTCTGCAATAACAGAAGACCGTAGATGTCGAAACCGCGGTAGTGTATTCTAGTCAGCTTTCATCCCTTATACCGATGTATATCAATACATATGTATGTGGTTATATATGAATGTATGTGTAGGTGGTTTTACCTAAATATGTATGTGGTGTGTGTAAGAAAAAAAAAACAGTAAATTTTTTACTATTACGTTCAAATGTTACTCCATCTTGATTTGAAATCTAAACTTTAATTAAGAAATATCATCCATCTAAAAATAGCTACAAATTAAATTCATATATTAGACTCAAACTGATAAAGATTTTACCTTAACAGTCATTCACAGTATTCATATATTGCTATTAATTTTTTTTTTCTTAATATGATATTCGGCTTATATTAAATCCCTAATTTATTTGTGGAAAAGTTGAATATTTAAATAACTAACAAGCATTAAATTTAATTTCTTTGTAGAATTTTTAAACATTTAAATTACTATCAAACGTTAAAATATGTTTTTATCTAAATTGCTAAATCTATACCACCCCTCTCCTTCCACCAAAAACCCTACGTAGATCTCTTATCTTCGATCTCTTTACTTCTCCCTTTTTTTCTTTTTCACTTTTTCTTTTTTCCTTTCCCATATCATTTCCGTTAAGTTGACCAATTAAATAGGTCAATGTCTGATCCTTACCACCTCCTTCCTCAATATTAAGTATTGTAATAAAAAGAAATATAAAGATAAATTTTAAACTCTCCCTTCCCTCTCTAAACTCGAACATGTCTCTCACATCATTCCTCTTCACCCTCTAATTCAACTTATATAAGTTTAATACTGCACGTCAAAAGTGTAAATTTTAAATTCATTTTTTGTTTCACCTTTGAAAGTGAAGTCTGAAGATCAAGAAAAGTAAAATTCTCTGGTGAAATAAATTATTACAATGGAGCCTTAAAGTGGTCTGTTTTTCATTTAAATTAAATTATTCGCTCTGACTTAACATTGAGCTCTTAGGATTTCATCCTCCTTTGAATTATCCATACGGATTACCAAGATTTTCGTTACTTAACTATATATATATATATATATATATATATATATATATATATATATATATATATATATATATATATCGTCCTGGGTAAAACGATAAACTACACACAACAGCAAAGCCTCTGGTCAGGAGGTATTGAGAAGCGTGGAACCACATTTTAATTGCTAGTGTTCACAGGTCCCGTGGTGGTAGCACCTATTAGGGTCCCAGCAATGGGCAAATAGTTAAGCCCCAAACTGGGGTAAAAACACTATGAAAGTGTAAAAATATGTTTTAATACCAATAAGAGATTTTTTGGAAAAATTATTACCAGTAATACATTTTTGAAAAAAAAAAAACCCCAAAAACAGCAATACATTTTTGAAGGAAACATATAACCAGAAATATGAGCAATACACTTTTGAAAAAAATATTACCAGTAATAAAAATCTGGTCGGCATTAAATACCGCATTGAGGTTGATATGCCGTAAAGCAAAAGCCAAACTTTGTGTGTATGTATGTGTGTGTGTGAGTGTGCGTGTGTGTGTTCAGCAGTGTCGCATAACTTGACACATAGCTCGCCATCACAATACGAAGGAAACGCTTTACTGTCATTGTAACCAATGCCAGTACAGTTTTTGACCCGACGAAAGCGATTAGTTCAACTAGTTAATACTAAGAGAGAAGTTTGTAAATATTGAATGGGAGACGCTGCCTAATTGAATAATGGAGAGAAAGCCTAAGTACTTACAAAATAAATCAGATAAATTCTTTATTCAAAACAACTGGTTTTATTTTTGTGAGGAAGCAATCCCTGTGTATGCCAAGTGGACGTGGGACAGTCAGAATCAGCAGAGCATATGTTTCCTTAAAACCACCCTCCACCCGGATACGTTTCCATGAAGAACCAACCTTATTTATTCCCGCATTCATACAGCCACTTTTCTTTTATTCACTGCTATCATGAGTTTGCTTTCATTGTGGACTTCAAGGCTCACTAAAGTCAATCATGGATTTTAGATTCCTTTTTTACTCTCAGTATGTCCCTTTTCTTATTTTTTTTCTTTTTTCCTTCCTTCTCACTTTTTCTAACCTTTCTTATTTTCTTCTTTTCTCCATTCTCTTTTATTTTCTTCCTTTTCTCCATCCTTTTTTATTTTCTTCCTTTTCTCCATCTTTTCTTATTTTCTTTCTTTTTTCCAACCTTTCATCATTTCTTTCTTTTCTCCATCTTTTCTCCATCTTTTCTTATTTCCTTTCTTTCTCCAACCTTTCATCTTTTCTTTCTTTTCTCCAACCTTTCATCTTTTCTTTCTTTTCTCCATCCTTTCTTATTTTCTTTCTTTTCTCCATCATTTCTTATTTTCTTTCTTTTCTCCATATTTTCTTATTTTCTTTCTTTTCTCCAAACTTTTCATCTTTTCTTTCTTTTCTCCAACCTTTCATCTTTTCTTTCTTTTCTCCATCTTTTCTTATTTTCTTTCTTTTCTCCATCATTTCTTATTTTCTTTCTTTTCTCCAACCTTTCATCTTTTCTTTCTTTTCTCCATCCTTTCTTTTCTCCATCATTTCTTATTTTCTTTCTTTTCTCCATATTTTCTTATTTTCTTTCTTTTCTCCATCATTTCTTATTTTCTTTCTTTTCTCCATCATTTCTTATTTTCTTTCTTTTCTCCAAACCTTTCATCTTTTCTTTCTTTTCTCCAAACCTTTCATATTTTCTTTTTTTTCTACACCCGTTCTTCTTTTCTTTCTTTTCTCCAACCTCCCCTCCCTCAATCCTTTCTTATTTTCATTTCATTTTTATTACCTTTTTTTTTCTTTATACCTTCGATAATCTTTTTAAATTTAAGATTGCTAATATTTAAGACTAATTTAGCCTGACACAAGATTTACTTAAAAATTTATGCAAAAAAGTTATTTTGCGTCTATTTATCTTTAATAATTCCGCTCCAAGCAAGGCGATAAAGCCGCTAAGAGAGTTAATAATAGAGAAGGAAACTAAAGACAGATTTAAAGGACAAAACAAAAATCATGATTAAACGAGACAGATGATGACCATTAACATTGCACTTAAATCTTTGTAGATTTCAGTTGACAGGAAAGTAAGAATATAGTCCCACAGGTGAGAGGTGCAAGAAAAAAAAACTATTAGAATAGAATTAATGGTTAAATTTAACAATTTCCATAGTAAAATGATGGGGACCTATGTGCTAATCTAGTATTACGTTTAAATTCATGAAGTCAATCTATCAAAGAGGAAATATCATCAGAACAGTTCCCATGAAAATATTTATAGAAAAGGCGTAGGGAATCTACGTTACAGCAGCGGGAAAGTGATTGATGCCGAGAGACCAATAATATTGCTTCTTTGTTTGTTGTCAATAATCTCTAGATACGTATCAAAAGCACAAAATATGTTATAGTAAAATAAGTTAAAAACTTAAATATCTCTCTAACCCTAAGTTCTGTACGCTTGCGTGTGTGTGTGTGTGTGTGTGTGAGAGAGAGATGGAGAGAGAGAGAGAAGGCGAGAAATGTTTCTTTTCGTCATTATTTTTAGAGATGGAAGCAAAATAAGAAATTCAATTTTACAAGACAGAATTTATTCTGAAAGAATCTCTTTTAAGTGTCATGTCCCGTCAGGACATAGACAATCATGGCCCAGCCTAACCTTTTATTTTACTAAATATTCACCCATTTCCAGGCCCAACAGCCACTCGAGATAGAATGACACTTGTGTTAGAGGAGAAAGTATGTGGAGGTTATGTATATATGTATGACGGATAACTGTTGACCATAAACTTGAAGAAGTTAAGATTATAGCGTCCAGGAGAACATCCTCTTGAGAGTCTGTTCCACAAGGTAGCCATTCTTGGGAAAAAAGCTCTCTGAGTGGAACTTGTGTTTTACCGCCAATCGAATACGAAGGGAAATGAGGATGATTCAATGTACGTAGCATGACGGGGTCAGCTGTAAAGGTTTGAACTAATGGAACTGTTATGGGACCTTACCCATAATAACATAATGGACTATTCCATACGTAATAAATACTGCGCCTCAAGAGGAAACAGGGAGTTCAGTCCGAAGTCGGGCGATCGACTGATCGGTTGAACTCTCTGTCTTCGGGCGGGAAGGAACCCGAAGGAGGTTACGCCGAAGGGCGGATTCTCTTTCGGGGGAGGTAAACCGACCCAGAACCCGTTTATACGGGTAAAATGGGCATATTTTTGGCCGAGCCCAAGGGCTCGGAGTTCCCACATTAAAAAGGCCTTGTGCCACATGACGTCCTCGTGGGAGGGTGACTGAATATCGTTCAGTCCGAAGTCGGGCGACCGGCTGATCGGCTGAACTCTCTGCCTTCGGGCGGGGAGGAACCCGAACGAGGCTACGCTGAAGGGCAGAGTCTCTTTCGGGGAGGTAAACCGAACCTGAACTCGTTTATACGGGTTCAAAGGCCATATTTTTGGCCGAGCCCACGTGTTCGGAGATCCCACGGGCTCGGAGATCCCACGTTAAACCGGCCTTGTGTCACATGATACCCTTGTGGAGGTGGTGGGTGGCTAAATACCGTTCAGTCTGAAGTCTGGAGTGAGGTCCGTCAGGAGTCTGTCAGTCAGTCTGGGCGAGTCAGTCAGTCGAGTCAGAGGCAGGCCGAAACAGAGTCGCGTTCAGACAATTACTACTAAACCTAATTGTTCGTACTAACACTTTCTACTTCTCTGTATATATTCCTGTTTGTAATATATCTGTGTTATTCCATATGCGTGTTCGAGTTCTTCTTTATTGGTTCTACCTTGGACTATCATCGTGGTGCAAGAAACCGGACCATAACAGGAACAAAGGAATGTAGCTCGACAGAACATTTTGCCAAAAAAGTAGCGATATATTCCTTCAACGTTTTGCCTGACGGAAAAGGGCTGATAATAATTAATCCCTCACAAGTCTACGTTGACGCTTTTCAAGTCAGTCAAAGCCGGAAAGTTTGAATTGGACAGCTCCAGAAAAGATATGATAACAATACTAAATATTTAGTCTGATCTAACTTTTGTAAAAGAAATAAGAATGGCAGGGGTGGTGTCAGTTAGTTCTTGGAGCGGCAAAAGGTACCGATTATTTTTCCAGCATCGTGAGGGATCGTACATATGAGTTCTACTTGAAATCTGGGGTGGACTTGAGTCCCAGTAGGTGTTCAAGTCAAGGAGCCTCATTAAGATTACAACTGTTTATAATGACCAAGAAAAAATGGTGATGATCGAAAGTTACAAGCTTCATTTTAGAGGTATTGAATGTTACAAGCAAGTTTTTTTTTTCCTTTTGAGATGTCAGAGCTAGATCATAGAAGAGATCAGCTGTGAAGCTCTGACCATCCACATTTTTAGGGATGCACTCATAAACCGTTGTATCATCTGCATAGATATTAAGTATTAACTTTTCCTGGGCAGATAGTTAATATAAAGCAAAAAAATAATAGGACCGAGGAGAGAGCTTTGTGGCACGCCTGCATTCTTTTAATGTTCAGAAAATGTGTGCTGCCATTATCACTCTTAGAAAAGATAGAAGTGTGGTTTTCTTCTAAGTGGTTTTTCTTCTAGAGAAAGAACCAAGCAATGGCTCAACAATACTAAAGTTTCGTTTAAAGTCCGCCATCTTGAGCATAACGACGAACATAAACAAGACGTAAAAGTTATTGGCACTGCAGCCACTTCCGAAGTCGTATCGAGGCTTAGGACATTTTATTAAATAACCTTTTCCGAGTTTTCTTCGTTAAATATATCTAAGAAGTTTTTGAAATATACTGATTTTTTCTATTGCATATTATTATCTTTTTTTAATTTGTGCTCAATTACCTGGTGCAACCGCTACATATATAAATACATTCACACACGAACATGCACACTCTTGCGCGTGCACCACACACACACACACACACACACACACACACACGAACACAGAAGTACATCAATAAATGCGAAGGGTAATCATGAAAAAGCATTATGTTAAACAATAAATATTTATTTATTATTTTTCGATGTAATCGCCAACTTTATCAATGCGCTTAATGTTTTTTCATAAATCCTAGAATTAATATTATACAACTAAAATATCAAACAAAAAATCAGGCTACGGACATATAGATCCAATCTATATATATATATATATATATATATATATATATATATATATATATATATATTATAATTGGGTTTTTTTAAATATATAATCATCGCAACTTTGGAATTCCGATATTTTAAAACTGAAACTTCAATTCCAATTCAATCATAAAAATTAAACTTAAAATACAAAGTTCCGTTCCATTATTAAGCGATGCTAGAATAACTTTTTAGAAATTGATTTACTTAATTTATAAGTCCAGACAAATTTGATATTTTGAGATGCTGGGTTTAAGGAAATTTCCATTTTTTTTATTTTAGGGGTGTTAAGATTTAACTTATTTAGAAGACTCATGTATCTAATGTATTGTAGCTATCAAGGCGATTAAGTCAAGTTAGGGGCTGGGGTATCTGTCTATTGACACAAACTCCTTTTTTTCAAGTAGAAATTTGTGGTAGTATCTACATTCCAAAAATCATCTGGGTTTCAATATCAATATATTTGACATTTTTATTTTTTATTTAATTTTTATTTTTATATAAATTTCAATTACGATTTTTTTCAAAAGCGGCATTTAAATATTATTAAGTCACATTTTTAATATTCATGTTTTTATTCGTACCGACGTAAGATATATCTAATCTATTTACTAATTGAGTACATATATGTTAATGTTATAATTAATATATTAGAATCTAATTATACATTCATAAACGATTTTACTTATGATCAAATATAAATATGTTAGCTTCATTTTTAAAAAAAAATTAACTATTACTTAAGGAAAAAATATGGCAATGTCCACATAAACTTGCTGTTTCATTTCTTTGATTTAATAAATTTTTATTTTTCAGAAACTTAATAATGTTTAACTTTTCATGTATGCACAAAGAACATGAGTCATTTAAAGATCTGCACGTTCTTGTTTTTTCTTCATTAATTTCCATTTTACTGTTGGTGTTTTATTGGTTTCTTATAAATGCCAGAAATATTTAGATAAGGATGTCTGGTTGCGGTATTTAGTATTATTGAAAGAACTTTGGTGTTGGTTCCATCTTAATTTAAATTCATTCTTTGTACATTCTACATAGACTTTAACATCATTAGGATTCTCAATAGATAAGATATCGCATTGATAAACTACGGATTTTATATGACATTCAGAGGACAATTTTCCAGATTTCTACAATTACATAATTTTTGTTTATTCGTATTTCAGAATCTATATTTCTTTGGAATAAGTATTTATTCATGATTTTGGCATTGAAATCTTAAAATAAGCTAAAAAGCTCACAATATAAAATAAACCAATGGCTCAATACCAAACTGGTAGAGTTTAAATAATAATAATAAAAATAATGCAAGTTACCAAAATGTTACACTAGTTTCTAGAGTGGTTAGAACGTTCGCATTCTGACCATGAGACCCGGGTTCGAATCTCACTATGGTCGATTTGTCAGTAAGGAGACTTCCTGGTGTTATCGTACGGAAGGGGTCGATGCCAGCGTCCTGAAAACCATACCAAACCTTGTGAGTGAAATTGGGTAGACGTAACCCTTGGGGCCGTCGGTAGCTGTCTTGATCACGCTAGATAACACGCTCTTTCCCAGAAACTGTAACTAAGGTCTGCTATAGTATTATAAACCATGGGTGGGCTCTTTGGGCTCTGGTATGTTGAATAAATACAAATGTGCCTGAGCAAGCGTCTGCAACAGGGATTGG